ATAATTTAAATTATTGGACCAGCTTTTGTCTAGGTTTATAATTTGTCGTTGTATAAGCTAAGCCTTTTTATTTGAGATTAATTGTTGAAAGGATTCTACCAAACGTAGCCAAAACTCATACTTCTCTGTATTCTTTCTACCAGAAAATTCCTATTTAAGTTTCGCAACTTATTCAATCTTTGTGCTTCTCTTGCCATTTGTTACCAATTTTATGAAAAATTGGGCTCTTTAAATATATATATATATATATATATATATGCGTGTGTGTTTTTGGTGGAATATTTTTCTATTTGAAACAGATTTACTTTTTATTTTTCAATATCTATGATTCCATGTAAAATTAATTTAGTTATGACACTTTCATTTAATCCCCGTGCCGCGAAGAATTCGGCCCGGATGTGCCGCGCCTTTTATTAATTTTTATTACTGATTTAACAACCGACTACTTTTACGCTTTCTTTTGTAGTTAATATGGATCGTAGGTATGTACAGTGCATGAGGATAATGGATCACAAAAGCAACAAACATGGCAAATATGGCATGTTTCTTTCTTTCGTTTTTTGTGTTCATCACATACTCTGCCAGTTACTACTGTTTCCATGCTTCTTGGTATCAGATTGAAAATTTGAAAGTTGCGTTGAAATCAGCTCAACTAATGTAGCTAAACTGTTTACTAGTAATTACTATTGCGCTTTTTCGATTATATGTTTCACCAAATTTTTTAGTAAAATATCCTACTCTTTCGCGGCTGAAGGGTTTTAAAATATTCTTTGCAAAAAACTCCAATGACAACAAAAATGAAAGGTTAAAAAACTTTTATTTCCATCACAAGTTATACTTCATAACAACACTGTTCATAAATAAAATATTTTATTACTATTATACCAGATTGTTAATTCTATTTTTAACTTTTCAATAAGTCACGTAAATGAACACAACTCATTAGAAGAGAGATACAGAGAATAGCAGAAGTATTCCATTGATTTAATTTAGTACTTGGCTAAAACAAACTAACGTTTTATCAAAAGCACGACAAAAAATTAGTTTGTTCACATTATTATATAGCCATGTTCTAAAATATAAACATAAACCATTAAAAACGTTTAAAATGAGTGAAAATCAATTCAATATTTAGAAAAATCATTAATACGGAGACTTAATTTCCTTTAGAAAACCAACATGGTCATCGTTGGTTTGTCTTCCATACATAATGCAACCATATTATAAAAACTTGTATCTTGAATTTTACTGTTGTGCTTCAAGGTAAAACTGGTAAAATGAGACTGGTTTAGGTAGCACATTTTTAACTATTTCATTTAATGAAGTTCGTTGGCAATAAAATGCTTCAAATTATCAGTTTAAAGTAACTATAATAATGACACACATTTAAAAAACAGCATTAAATCCTCTTCCACATTTTCAGAAAATACATAACAAATCAAATGATTATTATAAATTATTATAAATATGGATGTTGAAGTGGCTCAAAATTTTAAATACTAATAACCTCTAACATATCACAACGACTAATAATTTAAAGCAGGCTTCTGAACCCCTGCAGAAAGAACTCTCATACTTATTTCAAGATACCTTATATAGCATAGGTGTTTAATTTTAACAGGATAGAATACTTCCAATGTATAAGCGTTTGGTAACTACTAATTAAAAAAACAATACCTTTTTACTCATAATTGTTGTTCTGCCACAATTCATACAATTTTTTACAACACATTTAGGTGAAAAAAGCTAGGTGTTATGTACACAAGAAGATTAATGTTTTGAAATATCTGGCTTTAGCTATTTATTTGTATTTTGAAAACAGATATCATCACTCATAATAGGAAAGAGTATGTCACATACCGTTGTTTGTTTATTGATAAAGATACTATTTGCACAGATAGTGATTTCTAACATTGATCTTTTGAGCAGCAATTATTTAAAACTAATCTATTCTGCAGCAGAAATGGATAAGAAACTATCAAGCCTTCTTAATGTAAAATCTCCATAGCTGTGCTTGTCAAATACTACTGAATATTTTCACACTTTAAACCATACATAAAGGTTTGAAGCAAAATTTCACCACTTTTGATCCAAAACAGAGGTACAGTATATATTACAAGCAACATTTGGAAATATTGAACACCAAAAAGACTAATTAGTACCAGCTTATTACACTCATCACAGATTTCGGTCTGTGTGACATACTTATGTTTATTATACTTAGTTGAATATTAAACATACTTAGACTACAACATATGATGAAATTCTGTTAACATCTTCAAGTAATGCTGTTAGAGGTTCCTCAAGCCAAGAACAGGAAAAACCCTTAATTATCTACTACATAACCAGAAACATTTTCAAACTATGATTCTGACCATAAAACCCTAGCCAGATTAGCATAATCTTCTACTTAAAAAAGTTATTACTTCAGATCTTGTGGTCTAAGCCCAGTTTATACTTTGCTAAGTTTATTTAACACATAATATCATTGTTTCTGTCAAAGAGACACAAACTCTTCTGTAAGTTCAGTGGTCTTCATGTTATTTGATTTTTCTTAAGAAATTGATGAATTATACTTTGACACAGCATGTTTCACAAAATAATTTATTTGTCTGTTGACTCCACTAACATCATAAACTACCACAAAAATCTGCTTATCACTATCCTCATTTTCATACAATAAAATCCTTTGCTAAAAATCTTGTAAATCACAGCATTGATTTCTGGCCATCTGAATGGAAAACTTCATGTATGTAGCTTTGAAATATGGCAAAGATTAAAAAATGCAGCTTGTAACATCAACATTTCTCAAGTATCAGAATTTGTTTCCTTCAGAATCATTCCTTTCTTGGCAAGTTTGGCTTTCTAGAAAAAAGATTACACATTTTAAATTTCTTAGTAACATTTTTTCATTACTGAAATGGTCATGTTTTGGAAGTTAGAAATATGAGTAGTACGACCATTCAAATAAAAGAGTTTTTGCATTGAACATCAATATTTTATAAATAAGTATATTTAATCAGATAAGATACAAAATACATAAGCCACATAGTGAACTTGACAACTCCCAATGTTTATCAATTAAGATACGAAATACACAAGCAACTTAATAAACCTGACAAATCCTATTGTTGATCAATTAAGAGACAAAATAAATAAGCCATATAGTGAATTTGACAAATCGTACTGATCAATTAAGATACAAAATACACAAGCCATCTTAGTAAGTTTCACAAGTCCCAGTCTTGATCAATTAAAATAGAGGATACACAAGCTAGCTAGTGAACTTGAGAAATCCTTCATACAGAATTGATCAATTAATACAGAAAGTGGGCAAGATTTCAAAATAAGCCATGTAGTAAACTTGATGAATTCTACAATATTGATCAATAAAGATAAAGAATGTAGAACTTTTAAAGATAAGTTACCTAGTGAACTTGAAAAATCCTAATGTAAGTTAATAAAGGTACAAAACACAAATATATTTAAAAACTAATTACCAAACCAGTTGGAGTATGTTTCATTTTATTTACTTTAGCTTTTCTCTCTTCTTTCATTTCCTTTACTTTCTGTCTTGCTTGTTGTAGTCTGGTGAAAAGAAAGAGGATTAAATATTTAGTCTACTCAGTTGATCATGATTGCAAGTTTTCAAAATAAGAACTAAAATAATCAGATTTCAAGCTTATAAGTACAGATACTAATCTGTTTTAAATTAATATTCTTTACATTGAGTAGCATATTCTAATAATTGTCTGAATTAGCAAAGAAAGAAATTTGAAAAATATTAATTTATCTGCAACTACCTGCTGAAAAGTACATTGGATCCTTTGTGCTTATGAACATGAAAATTCACTCACTCTAGTTTTGCTTTATGCTGCATTTCTTTCTTCCACATGTCTTTAAAGTCTCCAGTGAATGGAACCCATGGCTGAAAGAATTCTTTTGGCCATTCAGAAGAATTTTTTGATTTTGGTTGCCATTTAAAGAAAGTCTTCAACTCTATAAATCTTAAGGGAAATTAAAATACATCAAACTATCAAGCATTATATTAAAAATAAGTAACTCAATTCATAACCTGAATTGTACCTGATGCACATATGACTAAACTGTAAGGAGAGGACAGAACTCTAGGGTTCAGGAATATGTATCTACAATTTTGAACTATTGACCAACCACTAGAACAAACTGCCACAAGAGCTTCATACAGCTCTTTTAAAGTGAATAGCATTAGTGACTGTCACTATTATAATATACCCACAGCTGAAAGTGCAAGGCATGTGTAGTTGCATCAAATCTTGAAACCTGGTCTCCTCAATATACTAATCACAAGGCCAGGCCTGGCCCAACACTCGAAAAATGTATACATATTCGTAATTTGGTCTTTCAAAACCTGAATGTTGAAATAACCATACTAAATCTGATTATCCAACAAAGATAAATTTTTATTTTCATAGAACTGAATTAACCTTTGTGCTGTACCAGATAGGTTCACCAAATAACAGGAGATTTGCTCAAGATATTGATTAAAGAGTAATACCAAATCTCTTACTGACTGAGTTGATGTAAAATAAAGTAACAAGACTGTACAGAAAGTATAATATGAAAAGCACAACCTTTATTAAGACACTAATTACAAACACAGTGTGTATATTTTTTTTAGTTAACTGTAGCTGTATCTGGATACCTTCAATGATTAACTTTCTCTGATTTAGTTCCAGACTAGACTAATTCAAATGATATTCTAGACCACACTCACCATATGTAACATTCCTTAGCATGCTACAAACGGTGCATTTACCCATGGTAAACACTGCTATCCACCTGAGTGGTCATTATTATTACAACATCGGTAGGACCCATAACCTCTAGATATCATCTCAATAACCACTGAAGGACACTGCTGTTAACATCCTTAAACAACATGCAATATTGAGTAATATCCTCTCCAGTTGGAACAGGTATTATCAACTTTGAGAATAACAAGAGAACAAATGTAGCTTAGAACTAAATCAACATAATGTTTTTCTTGACCAAGTGTTAAGTGAAATCTGGACATATAAAGAAGAAAGAATAAATTCAAAATAAATAATATAATATTATTTGAAGATAAATAGAGGTATGGTACATTCAAATACCATACAGGTTTAACTCAATGAATTGACTTCATGAACATAAATCTTGAAGTTATGAAATTAAATGTTGAGTGCATACTTACAAATTTCATACATCAGATTCAAATAGTAAAACTTAGCTGTGTATTCTGAAGTTTGTAATTAAGCTCTAGAAGACGGCAAATGTCATCTCATCAACAGATAACTTTGTCCAATTTTATTTTCAAATACAGATGTGACACATCAAAATAATCATGTTAAACAGCAAAGTATCTTAATAATTTAAATACTGCAGAACCTTAATAATCATATTAAATACTGTAGTACCAAAATCATGAAGTGAAAAAATGTAAGACCTTGGTGAAATGTTAAAAAATGCAGTGCTACAATAATCATATTAAACAGTGTGGTATCTCAATAACTACATTAAATATTGCTGTACGTATCTTCATTAATCACCTACTTGGTCTTACAATCTTCCAGGTTTTCCTCTTGCTCCTGGTGATCTTTATATGCTAACAAAGTACCAAAATGTTTGTAACAACTGGTATTTGTTACATAAATATGAATGCATTTCATTGTCATTATCAAAATAGTAATTAAATAAAGCTATGAAATAAATAAAAATAAAACAGTTAAAAAGATTAAGTAAAAAATAATTAAAAATATCAAAAACAAACGTTTTTCTTTACCTGAACTTCAGTTAGCAAAACACTGTCTTCATAAATATATATATTAATACATAAAATTATATTAATCTGAAAGAAAAGATAAAAAGCATCTGCCTTATTTAGTTAAGACTTTCTAGTTTTTGTTCTCAATGACTGAAGTTAAAAATATTAATATTCCTCATATTTTCTTATAAACATTCTAATTAATTTCATATTATTTAGACAACAGAATAATTAATTTAGACTAATTTGCTTAGTTTTTACAATTATATATATGTTGTTGATGATATGCTTGGTTTGCATTTATTTATTTTGTTACTACAGTGTCAAGCAGTGATTAGCAGTCATAATGACCACTTTTATACATCAAAGGTGTGATCCTCTCTTGATTACACTGGAAACTTGATGTCAAAAAACAAATATGTAATAGTAATAAATAGAGAAATAAACCACAAATTAATAAATAATATACAATATAAAAAATCGTAGTAGGTTTTGCTTCTGACAGGTTCAAAATTAGGGATGGTGCCATGCAACTTGGACAGTGCACCAAAAAACATTCTCTGAAAGGACTCCATAATTGGAGGAACAGCCTGTGCTCTGGCCTGGTGAAAAAAAAAACTCCTCTAGCTCATAACCATATTTATTTTTCTTATTGAAAACATTAAATAGCAGTTTTACAACACAATACCAATGTTCAGACAATAATGTGCATACACAGAAAAATAAACCTGCAGAGTTAATTTGACAAAAATTTCATACTAATTACCCGTTTGTGATTAAGCCGAGTCAACAGAATTGTTACCTTTTTTTAAGAATTCACTCATGCGATCTTTGAAAGGTTGTTGTTGTTCTTCACCAGAAAATTCCAAAACCTTTTGCATCTTCTGCTCACAGCCTAGTGTTTATATGAAAAGTGCTTTCTCATGCTTCTGAAAATGTTTCTTATCAAAATACATACATTTAAACCTGTTTTGTTTTTTTTATATCAGTAAATTTTAATCTAGTTCTTAGGGAAACTTTTTCTCTTTACAAAACCACTCAAATAATAACAATGATAATGAAGGAGATAAAACAACAACAAAAACCTTATTTGGTAATAGCAATTCTAAGAAGGTATGAGTGAAACCAAAGAAGAATACATAATAATATGTCAACCACACTACAACTGGCATATCCAGTGCTGACAAGCCCTTTTACCCATGGGCTTATCAGGCTGACTGGGATATAATAGACACAGTTGTGATTGAGATGCTATTTATATCATCAGTTTAATGAACAATAATTGCTAAATAATAATGATTATCAATTATATTTAAGTCATCTACAAGTCTGAATTAGGGCAAGTAGCAAAAACCAATATTATTCATTTATGATAGTGAAGGAGATAACAATAAAACAATAACATGACTTTGCTTAATTGTAATTAACATTGGTAATGAAGGAGATGATAATAAAACAGTAACATGATTTTGTTTAATCATAACTAACATTGGTAATGAAGGAGATGACAATAAAACAGTAACATGACTTTGTTTAATCGTAAATAACATTGGTAATGAAGGAGATGATAATAGAACAATAACATGGCCTTATTTAATAGTAATTAATAGTGATAAGGAAGGAGATGACAATAAAATGACCTTATCTAGTAATAACAATAAATCAGCAACATGATCTGCTTGCCAGTAGGTTCTATGAACTTCAAGTAATAAACAAAAAGATAATGATGAAGCTAATCTTAATCTTTCTTGAGCCTTAAGACAAATGAAAAAAGGGGAAGAAGAACAGTCTTTACTTTCTTGTTTATAGAATGATTCCAAACAAGCTCAGCTACATACTGTAAATAAACAAGTTCATGACTGGCATTCTGATACTTTTGTTACAGTTTCTTGGCAAAGGCATTTCTAATTATCATGTCATTAAATAATGTTTATGAATTCATGAACCACACATCATTGAGAAGAGAAGACCAGCAATACAAGTCCAAAAAGTTCATACATTTTCAACAATGAAAAAATTATTTTTTAAACATTGAAGTGCTGAATAAACTCGCACAGTTCATTTTTGGGTTGAAGCATACATTTCTAGTCACAAAAGCATTTGGACAATTATCAGCCAATTCTTCTTTTTAGTATAACATTAAGCACTTACTAGCAGCTAACTTCTGTTTTATGCATGTATTACTGGAAAATTTTACAGTAGCAAAATTTAAAAGTAACCAAATCAAGAATTCAGCTGTAATGTTGACTATACAATTTGGCTAAAAAGGCATTAATTTTAATTTGTTTATACCATTTATCCAAATATTATTGTAACTAACTTGATATCTGGGTTTTCAGTTTCTCAATATCTGATGACAAGTCCTCAAAGTTGATGTTTCCAGCCCTTTCAACATCACTGGGTTCAGGAAGAGGAAATGTGGCTTTGTCAGCTCCTACATCCTAAACACACAAAATTAATAGAAAATATTAACTGTAATATTAAATGTGAAATCAAACAATAAGAAAGTCCACAATTATAAAAATACAATTTATAGATCTGATGATGATAAAACCTTGTCAAAACGTTGTACATTTGCTGTTATATTAAAGTTTTTCTTCATTACCCATTCAAGCCGTCTCCAGCCATTATTGATCTAAAGTATATTCTGTTAGGATTATGTTTTATATGTTTATGATGAAATCCAGTTACCACAACAAATACACATAGAGGGCATAAAAATCTGGGCTGGTATCTGATCTATAGTATATTCTGTTCAGACTATTTTATATGTTTATGATGAAATCCAGTTACCACAACAAATATACATAGAGGACATGAGAATCTGGGCTGGTATCTGATCTAAAGTATATTCTGTTAAGACTATTGTTTATATGTTAAGATTTAAAATACTTTTCTTCCTCTGAAAAGTCAAATTTCACTTTCATAATCTCCAAAACCTCTTAAATAAATACCAAATGTATTTTTTTCAGTAAAACTTTATATTTTACCTGTTATTTTCTCTACCATAACTCTATACACATTTATTTCATTTGATTGACTTTGTAACTACCATAAAAATAAGAAAATAAATATAAATTACTTTTTTCTTTCTAGAATGACTGCAAATTGCATTATAAAACAATTATTTAAACTATATAGCTTAATATAGCTTTAAACTATATGCTTGTAAAAGTATACATCTGTTTATATTTAATCTTATTTTTTTTATTGCCCCTTGACCCATGTCTAACTAATACTCCTGCCAAGTTGTAAATCACCCTGCGTTACTGTACTGAATGACATAACACACAAGCTGTTCGTGACCATATGATGAATTTTTTCATTATCTTACCTAATTTAACCTAATAAGTTTCTAATTTTTACATATTATAATAATAAATAAAGATTATACATGAAAAACAGAAGTATATCGCTCACCTGTGACCTATTGTTTCATAGATGTTGGTTGCTGATGAAACTTAAGCCTAATTTGTATACTAATGGTACTAGTACACTAAATGATTTTTTATTTACTTAACCCTTTTGCTATTGCCTCAGTGCATTACACCAACCATGTGACCCAAAGTGATCATCAGAGTTTCTATACAATAACTTTAAAAATAAAAAATACTTTTCTTCACTTGAAAATTATCAAATTTCATTTGCATAATCTTAAAGCCTCTCATATAAATACCAATCATTCTTCTTTTTACTAAAACTTTATATTTCATCTGTTATTTTCTCTTCCCTAACTCTATACATATTCATTCAATTTGGCTGAACTCATAACCACCATAAATGCAAAACAAAAGGAGTAGTACTGTTCTATCCTTTTTAGAATTGACCATGAAATTCCAAGGTACTTCTCCTTGGAGTTTCTATTATAACCTTTTCACATCTATTTCCCATGATTATTTTACTGTTAACAGCCAAAGTAAAAACCTGCCAAACATAAAGGAATGAATCACCGCTTCTTCCATTAGACTATTTCCATGACACTGTCAAAAACAAACAAGCATATGAGGTAGAATAAGCTGACAATCCCCACAGAGTTTATCATGATTCTGACTCCAAGAACACAGTGAGAGAGGATTTATTGGCTTGTTTACAGTACAGTAGTTGTAAGAAGAATTGTCTAAAGTAATAAAAGTGCAAGAAAATGTTTATGATACAACTCTGTACAAAGTATGGGCCAATCCAATAAACTTGGTAGGTATTTGGATGTTAGTTATTCTACCAAGGTGGTTGGAATTTGGGAGTATAGATGTACAAAGTGTGTAAGTGCTTATTAACATGTATATAGATTATTATTATTATTTACTCATAAATGTTTAAATTTTAGTTAATCTTCTTAAAACATAGCACAATAAATAAAAAATATATAAAAAAAACAATGATTTCTAGTACTTACAATGTTATAAAATTGATTTACACTTGTGCATTGTATGTTGCAAACCTTGTAGATTTTCTCAAGTGGAGGGGAAGACAAATCAATTTTTTTTTGAATTTCAAAAATGCATTGTAGAAAACCAAAAAATTATCAAATTACTATACTGATATGCATAAAACCACTGTAATGTAAGTAACTTTCTAACTAAGCTACATGAGGGTTAAAAAATCTCATTTCTCTTCAGAGCAGTGACTTAATAAACAGACTTCAACATTTCTAGTAAACCTCTAGCTTTCCTCTTCAAGCCAATTACAAATGACTGTCAGCTTCATATAGTTTGGAATGTGCTCTTTTTATTGGTTATAAGCATGTACTTAACCCGATGACCACTGGCTACTAACTTTTAGAGTAGCCAAAGCAAGTGTTGCTATATTTCATTCCAACAATAAAACTAGTGGATGAAACTGTTTGAAACTT